AGGGAGGGGGGGGGAGGAGGAAGAGGGAGGAGGGAGCCGGCGCGGGGGGCGGCGCGCGGAGCAGGGGACGCGGGGCTCCAGAGCCATGCGCCCGGTGCGCGCCCTTCTGATCCCTAGGACGCGCGGGGTGCCCGCCCTTCCCGGTCTGGCTGTGCCCCAGGAGGGCGCTGGCCGAGGTGGGGTGGGTGCGGCTGGAAACTGGGGGCTCTGGTACCTGAGAGCGCAAGGAAAGAGCTAGGAGCTTGCGACTGGGCTACCAGTCTGTCGCTCCCTCTGGAGAACCCTGCCCTCTGGGTCCGTCTCTCTGACAGTCAAATGGAGTGTGGAGCTGGGTTACTGATTTGTAGCGTGGGTTTCATGGGCCCCTGCCTTAGGTGGGGGTTGGTGACGGTCCTGAAACTGCCTGCCAACTCTTGGGAGTGCGACATCTAAATGCGTTTTTGGAAGGGAAGTTGGAACTTCCGACAGATTCTCAAAGTAGGTAACCCCAAAAGGTTATCACACAAACCCCATTATAGAGGGCACAGAGTGACACACAGGTCGACACCAAAGACAGGGACATAGACATTCATGGACAAAGTGGAGGCAGACACACAGACAAATCCCAATGCAGAGAAGACCATACCCACAAATGTACAGAGACACATCAGTGGTCAGAGACCCAAGTGTGAGCCCATGGACACCCAGCTACCAGGAGGGAGGTGGTCGGCTTATGCCACTCCTTTTCAGAGTTCCCAAATCCCCAGCTCCAGAGACAGTAGGTGCCTCCAAGCCCACATCAGGCCTTTGCCATCATCTGTGAGCAGAGAGCAGAAGGTCAAGGGGTGTGTGTGTGTGTGGGGGGAAGGGCACGGGAATGGGGCTGAGTGTGCAGAAAAGAGAAGTGACAGGTCCACTGTGAGCATCACCACCCTGGAGGAGGCAGGGCTCAGAGCCTGACCAGGTAGCAGACAGAAGAGGCCTGCACACAGCCACAAATTCTTTCTTCCCTTGGACAAACAGGGCCCCAAGGCGTCCTGTGTGCCAGGCCTGGGCTGGGTGCTAGTGAATGCATGGCCACAGGATGGGGTGGGGGATAGGAGGAGGGGGGGAGGGTCCGAGGAGATCATCAAATGGGGGAGAGGAAAGATGGCGCTGAGAGCTCAGGGAAGGCTTCTTTGAGGAGGTGCCACAGTGATAGAAACCTAAAAGGACACAAGGCACTGCAGGAGCTCTCTTCCCTGGGCCAAGGGACTGTCACACCTCCCTGTAGTCTGTCCCTTCTGCAGGAAGCAGCTAGTTCCATGGACAGCCTTTGAGAGCTGGCAATTCTCAGTGCAAGCAGAGGTCACACACACACACACACACACACACACTCACACACACTCACACACATTCACATGCTCACTCACGCACACTCATAATGCACAGCTTTTCACACACTGCGACACACTCACACCCAACTATTCACACATAGCCACATGCTCTCACACACACACTTAGACACACTCAGTTATTCACACACTTACCTAGTCACCCACATTCACACTTACACAGTTCACATACATTCACACTCACACCCACTCATTTATGCACTCGCAGTCACACTCTGTCACACACTCACTCACAAGTCTCACACAGACTCACGTGGTTGTTCACACTCTCTCTTTCTCATGCACACTCACATATCCATTCACACACGCTCACTCATGCGCATGTTCCTCTTCCACTCTAACCCCAGCCACTTTTCCTGGGTGTTCACTCTTTGAAAGCCAGCTGTCTGTCGTCCTGCAGGCCAAGGAGGGAGGTGCTCCAGTGGAGTGGTGCGGCTGTCATGGCTTCGGAACCCCTTGGCCCCACAGTAGCCAGGCCTGCCTGATCCACTGTGCCCAGATGGGAAAGACAAAAGCTGAAGCCAGCCGCTGACTTCCTGAGCACCTATCACGAGCTAGGTGCTGCCTGTGGAGTCTCATGTCATTGTGCGAGAGCCCGCCACCTTTGAGTTGCTCTTCGTGCCACCCACACTTGGAGGGGCACCAGACCTCACTCAACTGGAGGCAGTCTTGAAGCTAAGCTTTCACCCTGGCTGGGAGATGGAGTGCCAGCTACCCACACGACAAAAGAGGAGCTCGGAGTGGTGGGAGCACCTCCTGATAGCCCATGGCCTCCCCTCTCTGCCATATTCAGCCTTGTCCCCTTTTTGGCCTTCCACAGTGTGGCAGGCTCCTTGGGCGTGTCCTTCCATTCCAGACCTGAGTCCCCTGGCTCCAGAGCCAGAGGAGGTAGGGCCAGGCTGCTTTCTTGGGCAGGGGGTGCATCCTGGCTGACAGCCAACACCTCAGTTGTCAGTCAGCCTCCTAGTAGGCATATGTGGGCAGCTCTGGGAGGACAGGCATAGGGAAAAAATGGGTGCTGAGAGGGGAGGGGAAAGACCCACACATGCAGGCCTGGAAGTGGCTGAAGAAAAGAGAGAAGGCTCCCTTGGGACTGTGTCACGGCCTTCCCTCAGAGACCCACGCAGCTAATGAGCTAGGAGAGGTGATGGCCCTGTCCCCCACTGACCCTGGGAGCATGTTCATTTTACTGCTGTCTGTTGTCCACATGGCAGCATTGGCACCAGCATGTGAAGTCCGTCCTACTCCAACAGCGTGGAGCCAGCTGCCTTGGTTGGGCAGTTACATGCAGCATCCTCTCCCTGTGTTCGGCACACAGGTCCTCTCTTGATGGGAGGGGGAGAAAGTTTGAGGCAGGGGTCACTCACTGATGCCCAGGGGCACTGCCCAGGGCTAGCGCAAGACAGAGTTGGCCATGCCACATGCCCCTGTGATGAGGCCCACTAAGACCAAGGTCAGCTGGCTAAACTGGCTAAGGAACAGGGTATGTGGCTTCAGGAGGGCCGAAGGGACAGAGTCACAGCCCTTCAGGATGTCATTGAAGTCCTCAGTGCCTAGCAAACAGCAATCCCCAAGGAGCAAATGGGCCAGGAGAGAGGATGGCCCCCTTTCTGTAGTTGGAGTCAGTCATCCCCAGGCTTGGGGATGAGGGAGCCTCTGCTTTGTCACTGGTGGCCCTTGCTCATTAGCCAGCCCCTCTTGGCTTCTCTATCGGTACAGAGGTGGGTGGGGGGACTTTTCTAGGAAGTTCTTCCTTAAGTCAAGCCCTATTTTCTGCCCTGGAAATGCTTAGGGAGCAGCTTCAGGGAGGCCCATGGCTGGGGTTGGGGGTGGTGCAGGGGGAGGTGCTTGGCCAGTGGCCCAGACCTCCCTGCCTCACTGTGCCCTCCCCTGTCCCTTTCCTGCTGTCCCATCCTGGTCCCCACCATGCTGTTGACCTCTCCTGCCCCTTACTCTTACATTGTCAATGGCTGCCTGCCTACTGTCTCCCCCCCCCCAGGCACTCTCAGCCTAAGAAACAAAGCTAGGGACAAGAGGCCCACCCTCAGCCCGTGCCCCTCACACTCTGCAAAAGGACCCCATTCTCCCGTTTCCTATTGACTCATCCCACTCTCGTCGCCTGCCTCCAGCCCTCTTCAGCCCTCACTCTTCTCCTCCACTATCGGAATGCTTTCTTTCCCAGGTCCTCAGCCACCACCTGTCACCAGGCCTCTCCTCTCTGTGGGCCCGCAGCTGCCACCCCTCCTCCGTTGCCTGGTTTCCCTCCTCTCACTTTTGGTGTGGCTGTCACAACCTCCTCTAGGGACAGCAACTCCTCAGCCCAGCCTTGAAGTGAGGGAAACTATGGCTGGGCCCCCTCTCTTTATGTGCACACTCTTTCCCTAGCTGAGATCACAGAGCACCCCATCTCGGGGGCCATCAGCGTGCCCGAGCCTCCCGGATCAGCGATCACATGCAGCTCCGTGGCAGGCTGAAATGTTCCCAGAGGGATGTGCATGTCCTGACCCCTGGAACCCGACTGGGACCTTGTTTGGAAATAATGACTTTGCAGACGTGATTAACTTAAGGATCTTGAGAGGGGGAGATCATCCTGAATTATTCGAACAGGCTCTGAACAGAGCAACAAGTGTTGTTACAAGAGGGAGGCAGGAGGAAATTTGACAAGCACGGGCACAGAGCAGGAGGTCATGTGAAGATGGAGGCAGAGACTGGAGCGATGCGGCCACAAGCCAAAGGACACCTGGAGCCACCAGAAGTTGGGAGAGGCAGGAAGGGCCCTCCCTTACAGCCTCTGGAGGGAGCGTGGCCCTGATAACACCTTGATTTGGGATTTGTGGCCTCCAGAGCTATGAAAGAATCAATCTCTGTTTGAAGCCACCCGCTTGTGGTCTTTGGTTACGGTCACCCCAAGAAACTCATACCACCTTGAACCTGGCCCTGGAGAAGCCCCTGCCTACAGAGCCCCACCCGTGGCACACCGCTCCTCGGGCCTCCCAGATGCTGGGCCTCAATAGACTCTACCCCAGAGGTTCTGGAAAGCCAGGGTTGTATCTCCCAACAGCTCGTGGCTGGCTATATGGAGGTGGTCCTTACAGTGCAACTCCTATTGCCAGGCCAGATCCAGCCTCCAAGCACTCCTGCCCCGCCCTGGCAGCCTGTGTGCAGCAGGCACTGGGGCCCTTCAGTGGCTCTGTGCCACCCCTGGTGATAGCGCCCTGTCCCACATGGCCAGAGTCGAACCCAAGACGAGCCCAGAGAGAGCCCACAGGGGTGGGGTCTGGAGACCACAGGGGGACCAGCGGTGAATGAACACCATCCCCCAAGTTCTCAAAGCAGCCCCTCCACTGGCTCTTCAGGCCCTTCAAGGAGGGGTTGTCACTTTGAGGTGCCCTCCCCCCATCCGTGGTCATGGCCTATGGACAGCTGGCTAGCTGCCCCCTCTGACAAGCCCCAACTCGTCTAAACCTAAGCAGTGGATTCAGCTTAGGCTCCAGCTGGGCCCTGCCACATCCAGAAGGCACCTGACCAGCAATAAGTACTCGGAAATGCCCCCCACTCCAGCCCCGTGTCACTCAGAGTCTGCTCCTTGGCGGCCTTTCCTTTCACGGGACTGCCCTCCCTAAGCGAGCTGTTCCCATGACTTTCATTGCCGTGTGTGTGTGTGTGTGTGTGTGTGTGTGTGTGTGTGTGTGTGTGTGTGTGTGTGTGTGTGTGTGTGTGTGTGTGTGTACACGTGCGCGCATGTGTTCCGGCCCTAACTCGCCCTCTGGCTCAGACCCCTCCTCTGAGCTGCACATGCAGGCCCACAACTCCTGGGGTGCTCCCAGCCCTCAGATGGCATTCCTCCAGGGGCCTCAGACTATGGGGGCACCACACCCCCACCGTGCCTACTCCCTTCCTCCTACCCCACAAACAATCTGTCCCCAAGCCCAGGGGCTCATACTCAACCCACAATCTGCCTGGAACCTGGCCCTTCCTCCACCTTTCTTGCACTTTCTAACTGGGCCTCTGCAAACCCACCCATCGACCCCGCAGCTCAGCGTGGCCATCCCAGCCTTCTGTAGCCTTGCCACCCTGGGGCTTACTGTGACGGCAGCTGAGCCCTGAGCTTCAGGAGGAGGGTGACTTGCATGGCATGAAGTGTCCGTGAAACTACGTGGGAGCTGTCGGCTGGCAGGGGTAACCTTGATGTTGCTGTGGGGTATTTTTCAAGCCCAATCAGTCTCAACTTTTGTATTCATAGTCCCCTTCTCCTTCTCCTCCTTCTTCTTTCTATTATTATTAATCATCTAGTAGCTTGCACCACACTTGACAGCAGAGTGAAGGTAAGTAATTCGTCTTTGACCAACTGCTCTGGGTGTGGAGCTCTCCCTTCTAACCATGACCCCTAAGCCCTTCCGGGGTGTGCCCTGTTCACCTCCCTGGACTCCTGCCTTGGGGCCCAAGCAGTCCCCTGGGTGCCTCACAGCCTCTGGTCTGGGCAGAGTGCAGGTTCTGCCTTCAGGGCACTGTCTCCTACTGTGAGGGGTTACCCACCAATCCCACAGGACACCTTCCTTGGGGCCAGCCATGGGGGTCTCCTCTTCGCCTGCCAGCATTATTATATTTGTCCCACTAGCTTGTCATGCCACCTGTGTCCCTAATGAGAGGGAGACAGAGAGGAGAGAAATGGCAAAAAGGCTGGAAGGGAGGCAGGGAGAAAAGGTAGGGACCCACGGTGGTGGCGGTGGGGGCTACGTTGGACCTGCACAACTGGTCAGGTGCTCCAGACCCGCCCACAGAGAAACGGCCTGAAGGCTCCATGTTTCCATCTCTGCCAGGTCCGGGTACTGACTGCCCCTCCTCCCGGCCAGCAAGGGGACTTGACCCAGGCCCTGACTCCTGGCCCCTGGCCAGTGCCCTTGCCCTGAGCCTGCCCAGCTCAGCAGAGATTGCCGGGCTGTGGAGCACATGGCCCAGAATAGTGCTATGATGCCGACAAGTGACATTCTATCACTGGGCCACCTCAGTGAGTGGCGCCTCCCATCCCCAAAAGGAGAAACTCGGGAACGCCAGGTGCCCTGTGCCAGGCCAGGCGGAAGGGCATACGGCTGTGTGCAGGGAGCCAGTGTGCTGCGCCTTCAGCCTTTTTCTTTCCTGCTCTATTTTCGTGGGTGGCCTGTGGCTACCCAGGGGCGTTCCGGCTCCTACCACCTGAGGCAGAGGGCCTTCGTGTGGGGCGAAGGAAGAGCGGCCAGGCTCCAGCCTGCCGCCACCTCAGCCTCCTTGGCATGCCATCCGAGGGGTCATTGCCATGGGGACTGTTCCCCCTTGCTGCCCTTCCTAGGCCAGACCTGTGTCCCCAGTGAGCAGGCTGTCCAGTGCACAGCTCTGGATCCTCTCTCGGAAGCTGGTGCCAGTACTCTGCAACCCGGGCTTGGCCCTGCTGGCCCACAGTGTGCCCGACCGGGTGGAGGCTGTGCAGGGGAACCCAGGCCAGCACAGGCAGACACACACAGCAGGCAGCCCTGCCTGGGAGTGCGCCCCCTGGTGCTGACACAGGAATCTATCAAGAGGGGCATTGAGGGCCTCCTAGGATCTCCCAGCTCCCCTGGGAGGGGGTCTAGCTTGGCGCTCTGCAGCCTGCAGGTGCTCAGCAAACACTCCACTCTGGAAGGGCAGATGCTACCTCAGTGGTCCTGCTTCAGGAGCCGAGTCTAAGCACAACTGAGGCATCAGAAGTGCCTACAAGGGAGGGGAAGGGGCCAGGCCAGGGCCTTCTTGGGCCTCCTTGTCCAGCCCCAGACTTGGGGATGCTGAGGACCCTCGCCTGAGGGAGGGAAAGCAACAAAGAGGAAGCCTCAGACTTGGAGGGGGCACAGAGAGGCAGAGCCTGAGAGCTGGCCAGAGGCAGCCCCTCATGGCTCCCCTTTCTGCTCGGTCACCAGTGCCACCCCAAGAGTAGCGACACATAGAGCCATATTGCACAGTGTTTCTTTAATTGAAAGACAACAACCGACCTCAGAAGCAGCCCCTCCTCAAGCTGGGCGTGATTGCTCAAAACCCCACACCAAGGGCCGGAAGAGAGGGGAGGGGAGACCTAGCCATCATGGGGGAAGGGGGACAATGAAAAGCGTGCTTGGGACTCCAGTAGGATGCTGGGCCCCTCCGGGGGGAGGCCAGACTCCCAGGGTCTGACTGAGCCCAGTGCATCCTCTCTTGACTGAAGCACGTGCGGGGTGCAGCACCTCCACTGCCGCCAGGAACATCCAGGCTTGGGGGCAAGGCCTGGGCAGGGTAGGTGGGGGGCAGCTGTCCCCCACTCCCAGCTTGCCTGGGCAGGGGCTGGGCAGAGGTCTAACATGACAGACCAAACCCAGTCCAAGGATGTGAGACAGGAGAGGGAGGAAGAGAGAGAGAAAGAGAGAAGGAGAAGACTGGTCCAGAGGTCAGTAGAGCAAGGAGGCTCGGATGGACAGGCCATAAACTTGCATAAAGGTGGGGGCTATGGGGGCCAAGAGTAACAGACCGGGTCAAGGAGGGTTGGAAATTCATAAGGAGGAGGAATGTGTATGAGGCAGGTGTGGTGGGTTCACTGGGGTCTACTGTCTCCATCTCTGCTCATCCACTCCTACCCCACAGACCCAGGGACCAGTTTCCTTGGATTGGAGCCTCAGACAATTTGGTAACAGGGCAAAATGGAAGAAAACTTGGTGGGGCACCTCTGAGTGGCTATGGGCTGGGGCGGAGGGGGGGGAGGACAGAGGCAGCTCTGAAGCCAAGGGAACATGTGATAGGGTCCGGGCCTTGTGCCCCATCTGCACACTTGGGAGCCAGGGTGAGGGTGTCGGGGGCAGCGAGTGAAGGTTGGGGATCAGGGGTCGGGCTGGGTTGGGTGCAACTGGACACTGGCCTTACTCCCTTGCTCTGCCTCCCCTTTCAGGACATCCGTTGTGCTCCCCAGAGACCCCACCCAGACCACCGCAAGGCTGCTGCTGCCTCTACTTTTTGTAGTTGCCAAATTGGATGGCCAGGCGATCGGTGACGCAGCGGAAGGTGGCTGGCTGCACCTCCCAGTAGGGCACCGGGTTGTTGAAGAGGCTGATGCCGTTGTAGTAGGCCCGCTTGACCCCAAAGCCCACAGGGCAGAAGTCGTTGACGCCCACCTTGGTGATGTTGTTGGTATGCAGGTAGACCACCTGGGGCAGAGGGATGTAGCCTAGGCTCAGTGCCAGTGCCCAGGAACCCTAACCACCTCCCCCGAGTCTGGCCAGGCCACCATGCGGGCATCATTTCATTGCATTGCACTCCCACAGCCCTTTGAGGGCTTGGATGTGGTTCTCCCACCGTAGGAAGGAGCAAAATGAGGCTTAAGTATGGTGGTCAGGTGGGTGTGTGACCAGGGGCTGGGATGAGGGGCTCAGGTGGTGTGGGTGGTGGGTGTTGGGTCTTGGGTGGGAGGTGAGGGGCACATGGGGGGCAAGGGATGAGGTGGGGGTGTCCATGCAGGAAAGATGACACCTTGGGCTCACAGAGCGCCCCTGGCCTTCCACCTGGGTTCTCTGGGTTCTCTGGGCTCCTGGCCTGCACCCAGGGGAGCAGCTTATCCCTCCAGTTACCAGGGGGCGTGAGAGGAGAAAGGGCCTGCAGATTGACCTCCTTTTCCTCCTAGTTCTCAGGGCTACTTGCCCTCTACCAGCCTCCTCCAACTCCCTGAAGCTCCTCTGTAGGAGAGGGGCAGAGGGCACAGGAGGCTGGGTGAATAAGGAGCCCAATGATGGTAGGACGTGCTTGGTCTGCAGCAGCGCCCTCTGGAGGTGGAGAGGAACCGGCCGCTAGAGGGCACACTCAGTCCGGCACTGCAGGTGCTGCTGCTGCTGCTGCTGCTACTGCTGCTGCTGCTGCGGTTGCTGCAGCAAGGCTGCCCCTGACCCAAGGTTCAGCTGGACTTGGCTCTGGCTGGACAGCCCCGGGAAATGGCGGGTCTCCCAGCACGAGTGAATGGGGCTTAGGAAGAGACTGAGGGCCAGAGCAAGGCTGGGCAAGGCCAAGTTCATCCGTGTGACTGGAAACCAAGCCAGGGATGAGGCCCCTGAGAACCCCAGGCAAAGCCCTGCAATGCCCCCTATCAGCCCGCTTCCTGTCCTGGGCTGTCCCAGTCTTGGCACATATCTGCACCCCCATGCCCTCACTGTTCCCTGACTTCCCAGGTCCTACCATACCTTTCTGGTGTCTCACCCACTCGGGAGACCTTCAGCTCCACTATCTACCAGGCCACCTCCTGCTCATCCATCACAGACTCTTTCCACCTGTGCCCCACCCTCCTTGCTGTCCTGCTCTCCTCCTCCTCTCCCTCAGCACAGACCTTTGGCACTGAGGGAGGGGGTCTCTGTGACTGCTCCTTTCCAGATGAGGAGGCGGAGGTGGAGAAAGCAGGAGTAAGTGGCCAGACCATGCAGCTGGCCACGTGCACAGCGAGGTCCCGTTCCACTCAGTACCTAGGCCCCGCACATGTTGGGCCCATTGCCAGGAGGGGCAGGGAGCTGAGGAACTGCCCTGGGGACATGGGCTGCTCCATTCCCCGAGTCTTAGAGAATGTGGCACTGGGGGTTGGCCCGCCCCCCTCCCCCGGACTCCAGCTCTCACCTGGAGGAGCTTGAGATCCGGAAGGCCAGTGGGCACCCTGGACAGCTTGTTATTGTCCAAGTGAAGCTCCCTCAGGGTGGGCAGAAAACTCAGGCTCCCATTCTCAATCATGCGGATCTGGTTGTGGCCCAGGCCCAGCCTGTGAAGGGGTAGATGAGATGTATTGAGAGGCCAGAGGAGAAAGGGACTGTGGCGTGGGGCAGCCCCCATGGTCCCGCAGCCCACCTGTACAGCTTGGAATAGCGGAGCAGATCCTCCAGCTCGATAGCCTGGATTTTGTTGTGGTCTAGGTGGAGTTCGTTCAGGGTCTCGGGGAGGTCTGCCGGGGTAAAAAGGGTGCTCTGAGATGAATGCACACATGTGCGCACTGGTGCTGTGTGTAGGGGGAGGGCTACCGAAGCCCGCCCGAGGAGACTGGGTAGCTCTAGGAGGATCCAGGCCCCCAGCTCTGCCCAGCATGGGAAGGACGTGCTGCCTCCCTACCTTTGGGGATGCCGGTGAGCTTGGCCTCGGAGATGCGCAGGTAGTTGAGCTTCAGGCCATCGAAGGCTCCAGGTTCAAAGCCACTGTTCTCCAGAGGATTCCCGCCCATCTCTAGGAGAGAGGCCCCCTCAGCCTTGGAGCCAGAGTGGAGCAACCGCCCACACTCCCTGGAGCCTGTCGGTTTCCTAGCTTGGGCTGGCCTGATGGGCCTTGCTAATTACCCACTCCCCTATCACCCCCCTGAAAGCAGTTCCACTAATTTACCGGAAAAGTTGCACATTCCTAGCGGTTCAAGATCACTAGCTCCCAAGGACATTGACCCTGGCATTGGCCTCAGGGTCCAGCAGGAGCAGGAGGAAAGAGAGGGCCCCTGGCGGGCCTCAGCGGGCTGGCTGGTGACACTGGCCCTCCCCCTTCCCTCTCTCTACAGTCCCCTGGTTTCTCTTCACCTTGCTTTGGTGGCTCTGGGGCATGCCCCTAGACAAGCCTCCAGAATGTTCCATGAGACCCATTCTGGCTGGAAGAGGCCCCTCTCCCTGACCCTTCCTGCCAGCCGCCGGGGTGAGGACTGTCCCGGGCCAGGGCCACACTCACCAATGCAGTTCATGTTGCGAAGCCCATTGAACACGCCCTTGGGCACCTTGCGGATTCGGTTGTCATGGATGCGAAGCTCCACCAGGGAACTGGGCAGGTTGGGAGGGATCTCCACCAGGTGGTTCTTGGAGATGTAGAGCTTCTGCAGCTTCCTCAGGGGACTGAAGGCCTTCTCATGAATCTTGGAGATCTTGTTGTTCACCAGGACGAGGGCCTGAGGCAGGGTGGGCGTCGGGGATGAAGGGACCAACTCCCCAGCCCACCCCGACCTCTCCTCTCCCTGCCTCCCCTGCCATTATTGGAACTTCACAGATGTCTGAGTCCCAGCCTCAAGGAGATCCACCTGTGCTCACTGGCGGAGTGCAGAGCAGGGAGTCAGCACTTAGGCCCGCAATGCCACTACTTCTCTGAGCCTCAGTTTCCCCACTTGCACCCTGGCTACAATAAAATCTGTTCTTCCCTTGTTCCTGGGAGGAACCAATAAAATGAAAGTTTTGAGCTGAGAAGGGAATTGGGCTAAACGATCCTGTCTTGCACTTGCGGTTACTACCACCCACCCAGGTGACGCTGACCCCAGGCGCTCCCACCATGCCCGCCTCCAGACTTCTCTCAGGACTCCATGGGTCCTCCCTCGGTCCCCTCTTGTACTCCACAGGTATATGCACACCCCCATCTGGACCCAACCCTGCAGCTGCAGGCCGCCCGCCTCGCAGCCCCTCAAAAGTACCCCGAGCAGGCTTACATAGAGGTGCTGGAGGCCTTTGAAGTCATCCTTGCGGAGCTCGGTGATGTCGTTGTTCTGCAGATCCAGCAGTGTGGTGTCAGGTGAGATCTCCTTGGGCACAGTCTTCAGACCTGCGGGCCAGTGTCGCCATCACCAGTATGAGCCCCGGCCATGGCCCCAGAGTGGCTCAGAGCACGGGGGCACGCACACACACAGACATGCAAGTAGGGACTCCGCCACAAATAGGCAGAGAAGCTCCAGAGCCTCTTCTCACTCCCCATTCACTAGTGACCAGACAACCGGACACCATCCCACACTGAAATTGGCATCCCCACTCTTGTTTGGGGTCACCCATCTCTGCTCCCATCCTTCCACACCCATACCACAGAACAGACATGTGTCCCCTTGACAGGGGCACTCAGGCTGGGCCTGTGCCACCACACATCCCTCCCGACCCAGCCCCGGGACTGACCCAGGTCAGAGCACTGAACAACCCGCAGGTGGCAGTGACAGCCGAAAGGACACATGGCGCTGAAGGTGGGCGTGAGGGAGTCCAGGTCTGGGACGCCTGAGGTCGTGTCGGCACCTGAAGCCTCCTCGTCGTTCAGCATGGGCAGCCCATCATCCAGGGTGAAGTCCCAGAAGCCCTTCTGTTCAAAGGGCAGGGCCTGGCTCAGGGCCAGCAGGGACGTGAGGAGCCAGAGGGGCCACATGGTGGGCATGCCTAGGAGGCCAGGGTGAGGAGGGGTCGTCAGGAAGGCCTAGACTATACCCACACCCATCCTCTGGGCCCTTTCTTGGCCACCCTCCCAGTACCAGGGCCTGGGGTTCTGCATGTGTTGGCACCATGTCCCCCATCCATTACTTGGGATAGTCAGACACTGGGCCTGAGCAGCAGAGGGAGGGGCCATGTGTAGCATCTGGAAGGATGAAGGTACCTCCTTCTGCTCCCCTGGGCTCCCAGGCAGGACTTGGCTTCAGTGGGCAATGCAGTGTCTTCCCAGTTAGAGAGTCTGCAGAACCCCACCTCCCCCCACACCATTGAGTCAGCTGGCAGCTACCCGGGGTATCAGTGAGGCAAGTAGAGGAGGAGGAGGAGAGAAAAGCCCAACCATTTGCCCACCCCCACGCTTTGAAGATACCACTGTGGCCCAGGCCAATCCCACAGGCTCAAGGCAATGTGTGTGCAGTAGAGGTTGAGTTAGGGGATTATGAGTTGCTTTCCTGCCTGAGCCCCCCACCTTGCAATGTACCCACATTTTTCTAAAAAAGTCAAGAGGCCAACACACCAGGACACACTGGGCCAAGACCTGGGATAGCTGTGGAGGCAAGATGGAAAAAGAGAGGGGCGTCCTCCATGGCCATGAGCAAAAATGCCAAAGAGGAGTGGGCACAGCCCCCACCCACTTCCCCACTGCTGCCTGGGGTCTTGGCTTCTTACCCTGGCCCACAAGCCTTTTCCCTGGTTTAGCCTGCAGAGCCCTGGGGCCCCCCACATCTGCCCCCACCCTTCCCTTCCTTCTGCCCACGGTCCAGGTCCCTGGAGAGGCCCCCCAGGGGAGCAGGCGGCTGCCAGAATGGCAGGCAGGGTTAGGCTTGTCTGGAGGCCCCCCAGGCCGGGCAGTGGGGTGGGGGCGGGGGGAAGTTTCCCTGCCCGTGCCTGCCCTTGGCACCCACATCTACCTGCCTCCTTCCTCCTCCAGCAGAGGCCATCCCCCAGCCAGAGCCTCCTCTTCCGGAAGGCTCTGTAAAGGAAAAAGCCGGAGCCCCTGCCTCTTTCAACGCCCCCTATAAGGATTTCCTGAGAAAGTCTCAGCATCATTTTCCCTATCTGTTAAACAGGAATAAGAGTGCCCACCCTGCTTGCCTCCCAGGCTGGGGGGTTGGCTGGGGCTTCCCTGGGTGCATCTGGGGGCAGGGAGCCCAGCCGACTGATTACCAGGGCCCCGTGCAGACCTGAATTGGCCCCACCCCAGAAAGGCCCTCACTTGGGGCCCATCTTTGCCAGGGCAGGGGTTATTTGGGGCATCAGTGGGGCTGGGTGAGCCTGACTACTAGCTGCAGAGGTGAAGGGAGGCCCTGGGGATGGAGGGCTCTGCCCACCGTAGACCAGCACCTTCGGAGCAGGTTGGCCCTGCCTGCTGCTTTCCTGGGCAGGCCCGGTCAGTGTGGGGCTGGGCTGGCTACTGGGGTCTAGGGCTACCTCCAGGCCTGAGCACACTGCTCTGCCTCTCAGATTCCCACCCATCCCTGTCTTTCTCTCTTGTCCGGCTCTCCTCCTGATACCCGCCCCCAGCAGGTCATATGGCCTGCCCCCCCTGCTGGGGCTCCTACCGTCCCTGAGGACAGAGTGGCAGGAGGAAATGGAGGAGCCTTTCTGGCAGCCAGAGCAGGCGGGCCGGAGGGCCCAGGACATGGTTGAGTAGACTAAGCTGCAGAGCTAGCCCCAGAATACCCCCATCAGGTCCTGCCAGCCCTCCCGAGTGCATGGCCCCCAGGGACAGGTTCAGAGAAGCTGCCTGCCTACCCCAGGTCACACAGCAAAGTGAGGGTCCCCCATGCAGCGGGAGCACCCAGCCTCCCTGGCTCCTTTGATCACACCCCATGTTCCACCAGCCCCAGGCTGGCCAAGCAGGACCCAGGGGACCCCCAGAAGGCCTTGGCACAGAGTAGGGAGAAGGCCCTGGGCTTGCCTACCTGGACAATGTGTCCCTCCTTCTTTCCCTGAGTTTTCAACTCCCAGGGCAGAGCAGGGCGGGCCTATGGCTCTCGTGCTTCTTGCCCAACCTTGAGGGGCCCTTGCCCAGGTGCTACTGGATTCCCAGGGTTGGGAGGGGGCTGATCAGTGGAAGAGAACAGGAAGGGGAGGATGAAGGCAGGAGAGCAAGATGGAATGGCAGAGAAGGCGGAGACTGCTCCCCCCTTGTCTGGCACCCCTGCCAAAGCTGCTACCTCACAGAGGGGATGAGTCAGGGCTCGAATGCCCAGCAGCGGGACCCTGGGAAGGCTCAGGATCTGCAGTCCACCTGGACAGGTGGGGGTGGGGTACAGTGGTCTAGCCAGGCCCAGGGGAGACTGTGCGGGGAGGCAGGCGCAGACAGGCCCTGTCCAGCCTGCTGGGGCTGGAAAGGGCTGGGGGGTCTCCATAGGGAACCTCTGCCCTGCTGCCTGGCCCTCCACTGGGGGAGAGGATGGAGAGGTGCTAGGAAGGCCTAACAAGTGGTCTCAGGGGACCTGCCCTGGGGGGACGGGGGCTCTAGAGGAGCTGGACCAGCTCAAAGCAGCAGTGCCTAATGTCGCTGCATCTGGAGGCCAGCTTGGCTGCAGCTCAGGCTCACTCTGAAGGGAAGGGAAGCTGAGGGCTTGGAGGCCCAACACCAGGGCCCCGTGACAGAGGCAGAGGACAAGGTTTGGCTGGTTCTCCCCAGTTCCTGGCTGGGCCCAGGCAGTGGGCAGGCTGTCGGGGTGGGGGCCAGGCGGGCTTCCCGGCACAGCCCTCATTTCCCCTCGAGGAACTGGCACAAGACTCAGCCAGAAGTATGTAGAAGGGAGGGGGCCCGCCGGACACAGAGCCTGCAGGAGGCAGCAAAAGAGCCCCACAGAGCCCAAAGGAGCCAGGAAGGAGCCTCAAGGGGATGCCAAGGAGGAAGGCTTCCCAGCATCTAGCATAATTAGTATTTCCATTTTATGGAAGAGAAAACTGAGCCCTAGAGAGAGGAACAGACTTTCCCCAAGTCACTCGGCCTGAGACTGGGAGTCCAGCTCAGGCAACTCCAGACCCTGAGTTTTCAGGCCTCGGTGACACCCCTCAGCATAGCGTGGGGGGAATGGGGATCTCTGGGTGGCTGGCTCAGCATGGGCAGTGCAGAGAGCCTGGGGAAGGGATTCGAGGCTGGTTGTGGTCAGGGTGGGGGGCTGTAAGGCTGTGGACAGGCCCAGCTGCCGCACTTTAAGCTTGGCCCCACCTTTCCAGCCCCTCAAACTGCCCCCTCCCCCACTTCACATGCACACGTGCACAGAGGAGGCAGGAGGGCCACAGCCCAGGAAGTGGAAGGCCCCCGTGGACAGATACTGTTAGACCCACAGCAAGTCCCCCCGACTCCACCTCCCCATACTACCCAAGGCCTCTGAGCCTCAGTTTTCCTTTCTTGGCCTCCCCGGTAATGTCCCCAAGGACTTCAGGGAGGGCCTGGAGCCCCGTCAAAGTGTGCTCTGAGCCCGCTGGACCCCACCTCCTCAGAGCAAAGGAAAAACGTTGTAATGGCAGTGAGGCCTCAGGCCTGGCGCCCACAGGTGTGAACGAGGGAAGAGGCTGGGTTTCCTGGAGCCTACGCCTCCTATCCAATAGGGCCCTCCTTGTCTGGCCCTCTGAAAGTCAGCGTAGTCCTCTGAGCAGGAGTGCTCCAGGTCACAGCCAAACAAGATGCATTGGCAGCCTCTGAGAACATGGATGGGTCGTGCCAGGCATTCAGGCCAGGCCAAGGGCGGCGGGAGCAGGACTTGAGGTCTGGCATGCCCTGGGAGCTCGTCGGCAGATGTGTGGCCCACAGCTGCCAAGTCGTAGACGCCGGGCCCTGTCCCATGGCCTCAGCTCGAGGTGTCTAGCCCCACTGAGCCACCCGACCTGAACTCTGCCATGCATGCCACCTTCCACTCAGCCCTGCCAGGTCCCTGGGACTGCACAGGTCGGGAGCGGTGAGAGGGAGACAGGAGATTCAGGGTGCCCTTCCTCCCCCCACCCCACTGTGTTCACCAAAGCTCTGGGCCCAGCTTCAACCAGAAAGCCAGGGGCAAGGGTGCTGCCCAGGCTGATACCCTGTTGCACCTTATTGCCTTCCCAGGCCCCAGCCCACTGGTCCCTCGCCAGCTCTAATCTGCACTCGGGTATCAACCAGAGAGAGAGGGGACGTGTGCCATGCATGGGTCTGCTGAAGCTCACATGTGTGTGTGCATGTGGGGGTAACTGCTTGAGAGGCTGGTGGCTGGAGTGGGGAGGGGCTGCACCCTGAGCTCCACCCTGTCTGCGTCTGCACCCCAGCCACCCCGAAACCACCATCATTTCCTCAGCATGCCCTTCAGCCTACAAGGGGAGCAGATTCCCAAGTGCGGCTTGCCAGGATAGCTCCTCCCTGCTGTGGCCCTGGCGCTGCTGGGGTGACTGGACAGAGCTGGGTCTTCAGGGGCAGACTGGACCTGGACATGGATGTGGGAGGCTGCAGGGAGCCACCCCATCGGCTGCAAAGGGCCGGCACCGGGAAGGTGGTGAGGCACCTGGTGCTGGCCAAGCCAGACCTCCCTCCCCACAACATTGAGGACAGCATCCATGCCTGCCCCCACCCTGTCAGGAAACCTCTGGAAAGCAGGAGGGTCAAACTGCCGGCCTTTTGCCATGCCAAGAATCAGGCAGCAGGTGACCCAGGTCAGATGGGGGTCCTAAGTTTCCTGGTCCTTCTACAGCTGAGCTGTGTGCCCTTCCTTTTCCTCCCACTCACTATAGAAGTCCCGAGCTCCTCCTCACCTGGTTCCAGAACATTTGAAGAAGGAGGTTGCCATCACCTCCTGGAGTGGGGCAGGGGAATCAAGCGATTTCCCAACGACCATAAGAACAAAGTGCCATTTTTTACCACTTGATGAAGGGGTAAACTGAGGCTCAAAGTTTGCCGAAAACTCTTGCCGAAGGCCACACAATGAGGAAATGGTAGAGCTGGGGGGTCTACTGTCTGTCTGTCTGTCTATCTGTCTACTTGCCCATGTGTCTGGCTCCATCCTCTGCCAACGATCACAGGCTCTGTTGCAGGCTCCAAAGCCACAAGGTCCCACGCTCCCTGGGCTTTGCAGGGGCCAGCCCAGCCCCGGGGTCCCTGGAGAAGACTCTGGCAGCTCTCTCACCCCGGCTGGGAAGTGAAGTTGTTGGAAAGCAGGGCTTTGCTTGTGGTCCTGTGTCCCTTTGCCCCTTTGCTTGCATTATGAATCCTTTGGAAATATGGCACCTCTTTCTGGCTGCCACTATCCATAGCTCCCCACTGCCCGAGGGGCCCACCCCCTTTGTTGATGGGTCTGGTAGCAGTATTTTGGCCCCAGCACATCCACCCGGCCAGCTCTGCCTCTGCAAGGAAGTTGCCTGGAAAAGCTGCGGGCTGTGATGGGAGCTGAGCAGCACCCGAAAGAGCTGAGGCTGGTGGGCTCTGCACAAGAAGGCACCCTCCACACTCACCCCAGGAGCTACCCTGACCCAAAGCAAAGAGGGTGGAGGAAGAAGCTAAAGCGGGTGGGGCTGGGGTGGCTCCCAAGAGCCTGGAGTCCCAATAGGGGCAGAGGGAGGGGGAGCACTGGGAGTGGCAGTGGCTTCCTGGGGTACCCTCCTGTGAGCTGTGTGATGCAGATTGAGCACAGGCTCCCTCTGAAGACAAGCAGATCCAGGCCCTGCCAGCTCTGCCCCTCCCCTCCCTCCTGTCCTCTTCTACTCACACACTGGGCCACCCACGGAACCCTTGCTGTAAATCTCATCTTAGAGGTAACCAATGGGGAGCGAGCAGAGGGGGATGTGCTGGGGGGATGGGGAGGATGTCCGCTCAGTCCTGCCCCAGGCCTGAGGTCCGCTGAGGGTAATTGGCTAGCCCCGTGGCCAGGCCCTTCTCCTGTCTTCCAGGCCAGCTTCCCCGATCTCCCTGGAGCTGTGATCCATCTCTCCACTTTCCAAATGGGAAGTTCTGTGTGAGTAGAAGAGGACAGGAGGGAGGGGAGGGGCAGAGCTGGCAGGGCCTGGATCTGCTTGTCTTCAGAGGGAGCCTGTGCTCAATCTGCATCACACAGCTCACAGGAGGGCACCCCAGAAAGCCACTGCCACTCCCAGTGCCACGATTTGAGGCAAGCCCTTGGGCTGGTGTGTCCCTCCCACCAGTCAGCAGACAGGTGTGGGGTGGGGCAGCTCCGGGCAGGGACCAAGCCTCCTACTCTGGGGTACCCAATCAGGAGGAGAAAGGAAGTCTGGTGGGTCTGGGAAGGCCTATGTAACAATCAGGGGTGTTGGCAGATGAGCAAGGATGGTGAGGGGCCCCAGACATCCACCCGCAGGGCAGAACAAGCGCCCCGTGGCCAGGCAGGTGGGGCTTCAGAGGCCGGGTGTTGATGGGAGGAAAGGGAAGACCCCTTGGAAGGGTCAGCGTGGAGACCCTCACATATGGGCTCATTACAACTTCCTCCTCTGGAGACTTGCTGGTGGTTCTGGATGGGACACTCTATGGTCTTGTTTGAGTGACTGCAGAATGTTGCTGAAGAAAGGAAACTTTCCTGTCTTACAAACACCCCCCTTTCCTCCTATCCTGCTCTGTTCACCCTCCTCCAAGTGGCCAGGGCTGCTGGTGGGACTGGGGAGAAATTCAGGCTGATTCTCCGAAGTCACCCTACACAATGGTCAGAGGGTCAGCACCCCTACTTTCTGGGCCCCTAAAATGGGTCGACACAGAACTGCCACCAAACCCTTGGTGAAGGAGCTGGACCTCAGGCTCCCCATCTACACAACAGGGACCCCAGTCCTGCTCCAGGGCAGGCAGAGCAAAAAGGCAGCGGGATGGTTAATGCCCACTGGAACCTGGGTCCTTGGGGCTTGAAGGTAGGCCAGCGGGTGGGTGGGCCAAGGCAGCCTCTCAATAGCTGGCTCACTACGGGAGCTCTCTCTGCTCCCTGGCCTCAGCGGTGTGGAGGCAGCCCTGTGCCTCCCTTTCAGAGGCACCCGCACAGCTCTGCTCTCACAGGCTCCTCCACACTGGCCCACGGTAGCCAGACATGGGCAGGCTCCACCTGAAGATGTCTGCGCCAGCGCCAGCTCTCCCACAGTGCGGATGGCACAGGCAGCGGCACGTCACTAGGAGGCGCTCGCCTGCACATGTGTACACTCATTCCAAATGAGACCGCACACCTGGATACGGATCCCCAGGAACCTCCCTTCCTGGCACTGAGGGAGGCCTGAGCATCTCCAGCTTGTCTCAATCCCAATCAGGCCACACAGGGCAGAAAGCTTGCAGGCTAGGGAGGGTTGAGGGCATGGAGGCAGGAGCCCCCTGAGGACAGACTGGACTGGCCGCATCTGCAACCTGAGCAGCCTTTCCGAAGACTGTTTGAGAACAATCTCCCTGGGCTAAGTGAGGTCTGCCCCACCTGACGCCACCTACCACCCTGTCCTGGAGGATCCTGGGTCTCCTGCTCCACTCAGCAGCCCTCGCTAACCTGTGCCCAGCCCCCAAACCCACCCATGGTGCAGCCAGGGGGGTGCTCCCATCCCTTAACTTTCCAGAACCCTCAGGGACACACCCAGAAAGCTCCATTCCGCCTTGCTCCTCTCCTGAGTCCCTTGACAGGCCCCCTCCACATACCAGCCATTTTGGGAGCTTGCAGGCCAAGGGCCAGTGGCCCCGCCACCTCCCCCTCTGACCGTCACACAGTGCCGTTGACCACAGGCTGTCATCATCAACACTCAAGTGACTTTGAGGGTTCCTTGGGTGGTATGGCGTCAATAGCCAGAGTTTGTCAGTCAGAAGCTCTGGGTCCTGACCCCAGTTCCTGCCCACTCTGTACAATGGATGGGTGGGGTTTGAACCAGCAGGAGTCACTCTTCCCCTCCCGAAGGGCCCTGGAGGCAACTTTGCAGCTACGCTTTCCTTCAGACCTAGGGTTCTCTCTCCATTTCAAAGGTGCTCCATGCACCAGTGGCTGGGCTGCCTTTGAGGAACATGGCATCTAGTCAGGGAGCTCTTGAAGCTCACCTATCCCTAAAGGCGTTCCTCCTGGGACCATGGTGTCCCAGCTTGTAAGTGGACCTGTGGCCTCACATTTACTCAGGGTCCCCAGAAACCCTACAGGGCCCCACGCCAGGCCAGCCCAGGGTGATATGGCACAGTTGCCAGAGTTTCTCTCTGCTCCCGCTCCCCAATTCTGAGTCCCAATCCAACGGGGTTCTGGACAGCCCGGGTTGAGCCACCCAGGCAGACCCACCTAGGGCCCTGGAAGCCAGGGCTCTGTGGGCCCACACCTCGCCTAGGAGGAGGTAGAGGCAAGGCATTAGCCTGTGGGTAAGTGAGGAATATCTGGGCAGGGTGCCTGGCGTGTGCCTAGAAAACCAAGTCCTGAGCCCTCGCAAAGGACTGGACTGGGGCAGTGGGGACTGCTCCCTGGCCTGGGCTCTGGGGGAGTGCCCAGAGGTCCTCCTGACCTGGGCCAGGCGAAAAACCTCCTGAGTGAGGAGGTGCCCAAGCAGAATGCAGAGAGGCCAGTGGGAGTGCAGGGCGCACCTGGGGCCTTGCAGAGAAGAGAGAGGGCCATTGGCAGAGCTGGGGTGCCAGCCACCCAGCCATGCCTTGGTGATGCTCTGGGGCGGCAGCCAAGGGGAAGAACCCCAAGGGGGAGGCAGAGAGGGTAGACATGGAGCTGAGCTGAGCGAGGTCAGCGGGGAGAGAGAAGCGGGGCAGAGAAGGCGCCTGGAAGAGGGAGGGGAATAGAGGCAGAAACAGGACAAGAACCAAGGGGACCACAGGGTGGCGACTAAGGGGCATGAACCAGGAGCCTGCACTGCAGCAGTGCCATGAGAATCCGCAGGCAGCCTGGGGGCAGAAGAGGGAGGCAAGGGGGCAGTGGGGACTGGAATAGGGGCAAGGAGGGGTGGCATGGCAGCAGCAAGGTCAGGGTCAGGGACGTCTTGAGAACAGTGAGGGGGCAACGAAGTCAGGGATGCGATATCGAGGGCAGCTCAAGGCCAGCACGGGGACAGCAGGGACAGCAAGTGGTTGGTGTGGGGGCCCTACCTGGGGAGGGGAAGCGCTGGGTGCAGGCTGGCTAGTTGGCAGGCTTGGGTGTCGGGCAGTCCGTGAGTCTGTCTGTCGGCCGTCCAGAGCAGCTGCTCACTCCTGGGCAGTTCGTGGAGAGAGGGAGACAGAGGCGGTGGGAGGGAGGCTAAAGGCTGGGCGGGCGGTCCGACGGGGA